AGATTATTCCCCATTGCTGCGTACCTCTTGGCCCCATATGCCTGTCCACATACTGTCTGAACTGCACTCGCCAAACCCAACTGCAACACCATTCAACATATATATATATATATATATAAATAACTATTCTTTTTTTCTCTAATCATTAACTGGGTCTAGTACTATTAGGCCTACCATAATTCCATAAGCGAGACCTTGAATTCCCACGCTAGCAATAGAAGCACCAGCAAGCTCTAGTGCACCCAAGTGGCCGGTGAACATGAGAGTGACAAAAGTGAGCATGTAATTGAAAATTGAAACAACAATGGAGGCTCCTGATAGCAGCCAGAGAAGCCTCGACTCCCACGCTACCAGCCTTGGCCACCACCTTAATGCTACCGGCTTATGCTCCAAGAACTCCTCGATTTCATCAGACGACAAATCAGGGATCCTAGAGTGCGAGTCCAGTCCCAGCAGCAGCGGTTGATACTCGTTTGCCGACCCCATTGCACCGGTCACCTCCGCCTCTTCCTGCCTCCAAACTCGCCCTCCTGGCTACTTCTTATGCTTGATAATTTACTACATGTATCTATATGAATATTTATACATACCATACATAAACATGAGGTTAGCTGCCCTTCATCAGTTCCTTCGGTGACCAAACTTGGTATTTTGAAAGGTAGATGAATCTACTACTCCGATTTGCCCTAGAGTCCACCCATGCAAAATTATGACGTATAATATTTGTCATAATACGTGCAAAATTATGATATATGGTAATAATACTTACGACAATAATAATAATAAGATATTAAAAAAATAAACGAAAAATTCAAGTGAAAAAAACTTAATTTTTTCTTATTATTATTATTATTATTATATTATTATCATTATGAAACGATATCATTTTATAATTTAATTTATACAACGTCATTTCATATTTTTTGAAATTTTTCACAAATTGAAAATAATGTCATTTTAAAGTCTTAATCCTAATAATCGAATGACGTCGTTTCGTGTAAAAAAAATCTTCGGTTCGTACAGACGACATAGAAAGAAGATACTTCGAGATTTTTAAGAGAGAAGATAGGGCGTTCTGAGATTTTTAGGGGAATATCATTTTGCTCATATTAACCTTTTGAAGACCCAAATTTTATCAAAGCTTCAGAATACAATGAATGAGTTAAAAAGGTATATTTGCACAACAGCTTACTGTTAGAATAGTGTAAATATATATAACTAAATGAATATACTAACCAATATTATTACTAATTTGTATAAATTATTTGATCTTTCATAAAAAAAAATAGATAACCCAACTGCCATAAACTTGTTTTAATCCACTAATGAACCTCTCTATAAGTAAAATCCAAAGAGACTCGAGCTTTTCATTTTTAAAAAAGAAAATAAACGAGTGAAATATATATTAACATGATACCAAAACGAAGGATACCGCCCATGAACAAATACTTTACGGAAGAATTAGCGTATCTATGACGTTCCCAAAAAATGTTAGCATACCACCCATGAACAAAGAGATTTGAGCTCAACTATGATCCAAAAAGTTATTCTCAGAGCTAGTGTCTTTGCCTTTGTTTTCCTCAAGTTTCCTCTTTGGAAGCCATTTAAGCCCAATGAATACCACTTTTAGTGCATCTATTAAGGTTCATAGTTTGGAGTTAAATGTCATATGCTACTTCACTGTGTTGATATCATTTATCATCTCAGTTGATCATGTAGTTAGTTCTCATTACAGATGAGTACTAGTGTACCGTGAACCCATGATCCCCAGGAAGAGTAAATAATTTAGTGTCTTGTGAAAGGGTATCCATTCAGGCATTCCAAAGTTTTTACTCCATGGCTCTTTTCTAATATGTAAGACTTGCTCCAAAATTGTTAATTTCCAAGTATTTTACTACTTAACCAGGTAATCTACTGATCTAAAAGTTCATAAAAGACTTGGTCTTTTACCTATTTGCAATCTATATGAAATTTTACAAAACCATCTTGGTTCAGACTATGTTCAACACATATCCATTTGACTGTATTGGTTGCATACCCCCAAGTCTATAATGATGAATGAGGTTTCTTTCCCCCCCTCTCTGACACTCTATCTAATTGAGGTACTCTAAGAAGAGTCAATTGAAAGAGAATTTCTTTCTCTCTCATTAAAACTAAAAACTGTTTAATTCTGTAACCAAGTTATTTTCCAACCAAAACCACAGGCTCTTTCAAGTTTTTCAAATATCTTGGATGAACTGGACTAAGCAAATGTGAGAGATTACTAAATGAAAAATGATAGAAACAATGAGTAGACACAATACGAAGTAGCTACAATTCCATGCCTGGATGAAATGGACGCAATTTGAGTATAATAAAACCATATATAAAGATCTTTATATTGTCTCTACTCTAATGCACATTAACAAGAACACAAGAATGTAGAAATGATAATAATAGGCAATGCCCACACACACAGAATGAAAGCAAATAACAGATCTCCTGTGCAATCCACTTTACATGTATAATAATAAGAGAATAATAGAATAACAACACGACATCTTCATCACCATGAACAAAACATCTTCTCAACATAAACGTCACTCGAAAGGCCTAGAAATCCTTACTTATACTTGTCCTGGTTGTAGAACCATGAACAAAACAATCTTGGAAGTTTCCACCACGAAACAATATGATCTGGGTGAATACCACATGAAACTCAGGAAGATGAAGTAGAGGCAGGAGTTGTAGGATTGAATGCTTGCTGTTCCGCACATGAGAGCATTTCATGAGGCCCAGCTTCCTCTCGGCCGACACCCATCAGGTCAAGGTAATACAGGTAGTGGGAAATGATGTTATTCATGGGATCAATATCACCTTGGCCGCAAATCTGATCCCCGTAGAGAACGTTAATGGTGGTGCCAAAGTTAGGACCCCGTTTGGCCAAGGTGTCATTCTTGGTGGGCTTCCAATTGCCAACGAAGATATCATGGGCTGAAGGCTGTGACTTTTTTATGGGTGTCATCCATCTCCAAATTGCAGCCTGGAAAGCAAGTGTAGCATTTTGCTCAATATATTCAGGATGATTCAACAGATCCGCTTTCAGAGCTTCCCCAGCAGCACCATAATTATAGTTCCTGTCATGGAAAAATACATTATAATTTCTATCATCTGACCCAATAATCAATCCAAGTGGTTGAGTTTAAAGCTTTTTACCAGTAGATTGGCAAGGCACCCCTGCCATAGTAGTCAGCTCCAGGGCTGCAGGGATAGGTGTATTTGTAGGACTCATCACAATAAGACTGGCTAGGGCTCATTTCTCTATTGTAGCAAAGGCCCCAAGCCAAGGGTCCTCCTGTTGCCACTCCATAACCACCTGTCAAAAATTATCAGCACCACCAAAAAACAAAAGGAAATAATACCATCAGATCCCAACAACTCCATCAATGGCAAGACACACAAAATGAAATCCACTACTCACAAGAGGTTTTGCAACCGACATGACCGAGAAAAGCAGCTATTTCCTTCATCTGCATGTGCTTGCCGCCGGTGGTGCCGAAGCCTTGGGGCTCGAACATGGCGGCGGCAGTAATGAACGATTGGTAGTCCCAAAAGCCCACAGCGTGAGCCACCGGCGAATTTCTCTTCGAGAAGAGATTCTCGAATTGGTATGTCTGGAAATAATCTGTTACGGTCAGGTTACAACAATAGATTGACCAGTCCTTACACTCCCATCCTTTTGTACAAACTTTCTTTCCCTTCACAATCTTCACCACGGTCTTTTGATCATCTCCATTTGCAATCACCGCCAAATTGCAGAGCAGTACGAGCGCTAAAATTGCGAGAACCCCCTTCCTCATCTCCATTACAGAGATAATGAAATTCTGAGAGGAAGCAGCAATGAAGATTTCCACTTACCTTGAAATCGATGCTGCCAGATCGAAGCGCTGGTTTGCAATTTACTTGGTAGAAAAGAGAGGAATGAAGAGGAATCAAAGAGGGAGATAGTGAAGAGGAGAGAGGGTGTTAGATCGACTGTCTTTTTCGGCCTACTGTAAACCAGTGGTGGTTCTGGTGATTAAACTCCGAACAAGTTCTACTAAGATCAACGGTGAAGATGGAATTTTTTGGAAAATAGCTGTTCGAGAGTTAAGCAAGAACAGGCTGGACCTCTCTGACCCCACTCCACCCTTCCACCGACAATCACACCCGGCTGTAACTCTAATTCCAAGTCTCAAACTTCGAAAGTAAGAATTATTTTAATATTTAAAAACATATTTAATATGGTAAAAGTATTTTAGAATTTACCAAAAATTTTTCTAAAAAAACACACTTTGGGTAATTGTCAAAATAAATTTTAAATGTATTTTAAGATTATTTCATAATTTTTTTTTTTAAATGTGTGATCTAATTTCAAATTTTTTTATTTACAAAAAATTTTAAACATATTTAAAAAATTAATTAATTAAGTTATAGTCTAATCAAATTTTGAGCAAGAGATAATTATCATTTTCAAACCTAAATTTGTGATATAATTTCGAAAAACTATTTAATAGAATCTTTTATAAGTATTCTTTTTATTTATTGTTATTTAAAATTAATTAAGTTATTAATAATTAAATGAAATCAAAAAAATAATCCGTCACGTGCAAAATTATTATAAACAATTCTCCTTCAAATAAAACAATTTTATCAAATTGAGTACGATACATAAATTTAGAACAAACTGGTACAAATACCATTCAAGAGAAGATAAATTTTCAAGTTAGTCGTCATAAAGTAAATAAAATTTTGACAGATTTAGTAAAAAACGATCTTCTATCGCTTATACTAATTAGGTTAACATTTCGATAGATTTAATAGATATGAATATGCTAAATTGTATTATTTCACGTGTCTTATTTAAGTTATTAGTTCAAGATAAACTCATTTAATATTATTTATTGTTTTGATCGACGTGAGTACGTGCAGTATCAAGTGTGTGATCATAATGTGAATGCTGTACAGAATGAGTAATAAACATGCAGTAATCTTTATTTGTATGTATGTTATTTCACCCTAATACTGCACACTTACATCGAAAAAGCATACAAGTACAAACAGATTGGAGGCTGGAGGAAGACCACAACAACTGTTCTGATAATTCAAGATAGCCCAGGGAATTTTTTATGGTCCCAGATTAATTTAAGATGAGGTGGGTTATGAATCATTTACATCCAATGTCACGCAGGTAAGCAGCTACTCGTGCTTCTTTTGCTCGAGCTTCCCCTTCGGAATCTTGCTGAGAACGCTGGAATCCAACTTACGGTAATGATTTTGAAGCTGATCCAGTATTTTGTATACTAGATTGTCAACCTGATCTTCGTACCTCTCGTACAGGACCGGCAATGTATGTGCAGCAACAAAACCTTCAGAAAGAACAGTACAGTTTGGAATATTTGTATATATACACAAAGATGAAGCTTTTTTCCAAGAAAGAATATATAAACTCTAAGTCTTCATAATTCGTTTAGTACATAAAAAAATGTATTCCCCCCCTTCATTACTGGCTAAGGTGTAAATAATGCTACTTATAAAGGTGTAGGTTCGGGAACTAGATTAGACACTCCTTATCATAAGGCAAAACATCAAACATAATAATGCAAAGAGTCGTTAAACATAGAAACTTGCGTCCAAAAGCTTTCCTCCTACAAATTGAATCTAATTTTACATAGAACTATTAGTTTTTTTTAACTATTATCTTTATAATCTTTTGGAGTTTTATCAGAAACATCCACATAGTAGTCTAATTTGTATCAGATTTGAATCCTGCGTTTCTGATTGTAACAATCTGGATCTTACATTATTATCAAATTACAAACCGGACCATTAATTTAAAATTTCTATCAAGATTGATAGTAACTCTGACGTGGCATTTTTAACTAATAGGATGTGACACGTGTCCAGAGATAATTTTGTTAAAAATTAAATTAATAAAAATCCTAAGTTGTCAGTACTCCTTATCTTATTCTCCTCTTGCTTCTTCCAGAATCCTGAAAAACTCACAAAGCATTTCCTATAGGCAACCTACATACTACAACTTCTATTGTCAGCTCAAAAAGGTAACAACCCCACGTTTGAATGTTGTTCATCCTGCGGCTGCCTGCCACACTTGCATCCAACCCTCTAGCAAGACCAGTTGTCCCTCTGTCATGCCACAGGAAGTCACCAACTAGCAGTGAAATTCAACCTCCTGCTTACCTTTTTTCAACCTTTGAGACATTGAACGTTTGTCCCAGCAAGAAACCTACCATCTCTA